AATTGCCCAAGCCGAAGCCTGGTGGGCTTTCTTGAAAGATGAGTCAAACTTACGGTCTTCTGGCTTAAGTCCTTCAGAAGTATCCCCCGAGATGAAAGGAGACGACGAGGAAAGCGCTGCCACAGGGCCATCGACCTCGGGAACCTGCAAGAGACTAGTCAGGACAGGATCCATGTTGTAATTTCTACGATCGTAGCCACTAGGAGTAGGAGAGAAGTTGGATTAGTCCATTGTTTACGAACCACATCAGCAAAAAGTTTTGGTGCCGGGACAAATAGCTGCTCAGCTACTGGTTCAGAAAAAATGCCCTGACTGGTGGAGGCGGCAGAAGTTGACGGGACAGAATCAGTGTCAACTAGGCCCGAGGTGACCTTGGCCTTGTGAAGCAGTGATTTAAAAAGTCCCTGGGGAAACAGCCCCGTAAAGGCTGGTACGTCTGGAGCAGTGGATTCGTCATCCGACAAATCCACCTCTCTTTGAGGTTCATCCTCCAATTCTATATCAGCACTGCCCCTGGATCTAACCGGGGAGTGATCAGGGGACCCTGTGAGGCTGGCATCAGGAGAAACCCTTGATCTTCTGGAATGAAGACTCTCAGAGACAAGAGAGGCAGAGCGATGCTCCCTGATGCCTGCTTGAATTCCATGAGAAATGGCCCTGGCAATTAACATCTGCACTGATTGAGGAAGATTTTCCAGATCAGACCTAGGTTGATAGCTTGGTGGAGGATCCTGAACAGAAATAGAACAATCAAAGGGGTCCCCCTCTTGTCTAATTGGAGAGCCATGAAGGCTGTCCTGTCGTTCTGGGGAGAAGGCTTTGGTCAAGTCAACCTCCTCTGCAACCCCTGAATCGAGACCGACTTCCGGGTTTGGCTTATCTGTATGAGTATGCGTAGCCAGATCAGAAGTATGATGATGAGACGTTTTTGTATGTTTTGATTTTGAAGAGGCCTTACGGCCAGAATCAGTCTTGGGAGATGACTGGTCTGCCATTACGATGGATGGGCTGTGCTACAGCAGGAAATCTGTACACAAATGAACAATGGTAAGACATCAGTAAGATATCAATAATTATCCTCCTCCTCCTCCTCATTATTATTATTATTATTATTATTATTATTATTATTATTATTATTATTATCATTATCATTATCATTATCATTATCATTATTATTATTATTATTTTGCAGGGAGTCAGCGTATGCAAATTAATTTCCCACTTTATATAAATCCAGCAAATAATAGGGAAGCCGCTGCCACAATCAAATCACCAAAAGAAGAAATTTTCTTTCCCCTGTTTGGATATAAGATGGCTGCCCAGGAACCAGTATCCAGGGCCAGACAAAATGGCCGCCAAGAGTTGGGATTAAATTCCAAATATCCCAAAGCCACAAAACACAGACCTGCTTCCATTGACTCTCCTCCCCAGGATGTCTTTTTTTTTTTTTTTAAATGATGCAAGTGCAAAGCTTACCAAGCTAAGCACTTAGACAGGTCTCAGCAGCCGATGAAAAGGGGCGCGCAGAAATGGCGGCAAATAACGGCTGCAAAAAGATGGCGGCACAGAAATTGGCGGGGAAGCGTCAGACACCACCCACGCCAAGGCAACAGCAGCGAAAATGCAAGCGCCGTCTTTCCCGGTAGCTGGGAGGAGCAGCGACAGCAAATAGAGCTGAAAATAACCCTCGCAGCACGGCAGAGGATTTTTCGGCTTCCGCGGCTTCTCCGACCTCCAGCTGATCAGCGCTGAGGGGAGACTGACAGCGGAACGGGGCGGCGAGCGGTGAGAAGCAAAGCGCCAGTCCCCGAAGCGTTACGATCTTCACGCCCCCCAGCTGATGAGCGCTGGGGCGGCGGCTGCCAGGGGAGCGCGGCGGCGGCGTTTCCAGCCTAGGAAGACTGAAATGGCCCGCACGCACAGCGCTAGAAGAGAATGGGGGCTGAAATATCTTTTAAAACTCACGTTCCCTTGAAGCTCAAGAGACAACGGAGGCAGCCCTGTCGATCAGACAGTGTTCAGGCTGAAAAACCCCCCAGCAACAAACGATCTCCAATTCCGTCAGAAGTGAGAGACTCAGCGAAGCGACTGGTCAGAACCACTGAGTCGAATAAACTGGAAGGAAGGGAGGCCTGAGTAGGCATGGCCAAGTTTATCCGACTCAGTGATTGGCCAGACAAGCTGGATCATCCCACTTCTGACCCACTCCGCATCCCAGTGGGAGAATATAGGGTTTGGGCTATACTCGCCGTATAAGACTACCCCTCTTCCAACGCACACCAAATAAAAATTAAAAAACATCAACTGGCTCACCCACAATGTAAAAGCAGCTGTGCTAGACCCAAAATGGCCCCTGCAACAAGCAGGAACCTCACACAGCCACAAAAAACCCAAAAACCCAACTTTCACACTTTACACACACAAAATTCCACATACAGCTTTGTGAGATTTTGTGTGTTTGTGTAGTTAGAGTGAAACACAGAAACACACTAAATCTCAGAAAGCTGCACAAATATTATTTTATTTTTATTTTTATTTTTATATGAAAGTTAAATTTAAAACTTCCTAAACTTTAAATGGCTAGGTCTAATAAAGAACAACTAAAAAAAATCCCAATTAACTATTTTTTTTAAAGTTCCCAAAGGGGTAAAAAACTTACCCAATAGAACAGGGGTCTCCAACCTTGGCAACTTTAAGACTTGTAGACTTTAACTCCCAGAATTCCTCAGCCAGCTTTGCTTTGCTGGCTGAGGAATTCTGGGAGTTGAAGTCCACAACTCTGCCTGCTTGATTGCAGACAGGGAGTTGCTTGCTGATGGAATGGATTCAGGCAAGCGAAGCAAGGCAAGCGTTGCGACTAGCAGCTAAGGTAAGCAAGCTGGAGGGGGAAAACTTTTTTCCTTTTAAATGGCTCTGGCGATCCCAGCTGAGTTGCCTGATTAGCAGGCAACTCAGCTGGGATGGTCAGAGCTTGGCTCGTCAGAGCCTTTTGGGCTGGTCTGCCTGGTTACAGGAGAACGACACCCGGTGTATAAGACGACCCCCGACTTTTAAGAAGATTTTCATGTGTTAAAAAGTCATCTTATACGCTGGAAAATACGGTAGAACAGATGATACACCCTTGATAAACACAGATCCCAAAGGAACTGACTGTTCAGACCCTCAGTACCTTCCCCTCTTCCCCAGCACAGATGCTGATTTCACAGACCTAATAAACAGTTGATGTTCTCACAGCTAAGCACTGCCCCATCAGTATCTAGGACAGGCATCTAACCATAAGGTTTCAGGGTAGGCTAGATCTGAAGAATATGCAATACTAGCCAAGGAACAAGCTGGATTCATAAATGGCTGTTCTATTTTCACTCTTATCGTACTCTTGTCATGCTCTTATTCTGCAATACTTGACAGAGAAATATGCTTCAAAACCTCATGAAAATCTATAGGCTCCCTTCATTGATTTCACAGCAATCTTTAATTTCCTGGTCTAATCGTTGGCAGAAGGGTCTATTTATTCATATATAAACTATATGACACTTCTACTTTAAAGATCAGATGCAGTCCTTAGAGTCCCATTATTCTAACGAAATCTTGATCCAGTAAGTTTGCATTCTGGCACCATCACTGTTAAAACTATTACAACGATTCTATAGTCACCAGGAGGAATAACCTCTCACATCATCTTGCAAAGTTGCCAGACAAGCATATAACAAGTCTATATGCAATCTTATATTTTTTGGGAACCCCAAAATAAGCTCTTGGTCTTATTTTCAGGGAAGTTTTATTATTTTGGGGCGCATGGAGCAAGATGGGGCTCCTCTTGCCATCTTACCTGATTTCCAGCTGTGTCACGGTTCTCGCCATTGTGTGCAGGGAAACAAGTTGTACCATAAAAAAATGCTTCCCGTGAATTCAATCAATTAATTCCAACTTCTCAAACACCCACCTCTTCACTAGGTCTTATTTTGGGGGGAGGGCTTATTTTAGGGCATGCGCTCAAAAGCCCAATTGGGCTTATTATCTGGGGAGATCTTATTTTTGGGGAAACAGGGTATTCAGCAAACTTTAGATGAATAATCTGCCACAGCCCTCCAAATCACTTTCATACCAAAGGGGTACTGTACAGTTTGCTGTACTTTTGAGTATATTCAGCCCAGGTCTTGTCACAATTATTCTTTGATGTACATACAAGTTTTTTCCCCCCTTGGAAAGGGTTCAGACTAAATTTCTCAGGACCTTATTCCAAATACCCTGTTGTATTTCAAATGTGATCTTCTATCATGAGGTTAGCATTAGCAAGACTCACTGTAAATCCTGGATATATATTTTCACATACTGGAACTAAACTGCTGTTTTCCCCATAATAAATGTCTGTGGAAATTCTCTGTCATCCAGATCATGGTTATCCCAAACAACCATGGGACAACCATGACCTGGATGACTGAGAATCTCTACAGACTTTTAGCTACACAATTTGGGATGAACACCCTTTGAATGGTGTAGGAGTAGAAATGGATTTCCAGGAAAAAAAATTGCAGACTATAGGAACCAGGAGCACTACTGTAACCCTGACGACACAGATAAACCTCCAAGTGCTTCAACTACTCTCTAAAACAGAGGTCACCGACTGGTGGTCCGTGGACCACTGGTGGTTCGCAAGAAAATTTTGGTGGTCTGCAGCGCACCCGAGCTGCTCTGGGATGACCAATGGCTAGTCCTATGATTAGAGCTCTGGAATATGGGACCGGCCAGGCAGATCATGGTGGGGCTGGAATTCTCTGCCAGTAGTAACTTGCAACTTTGCAGGAGGTGCAATGTGCAAGGAGTAGCACAGCCCTCACCGGTCGGAATGAGGTAATGGTGCAAAGGGGGGGGGTAGCGCAGGTGGACCAAAGCAACAGGTGTCAGCAATCCGCAGCTCTTTCTTCCCCCTGCTGTGGCTTCCTGTCAACTGAACCCACCATTGGCTGTCCCCACCCCTCACCCTTCCAGTCACTCCTCACCTGGCTTGAGAAGGGAAGGGCGGGGGATGGAGATTCACTCCATGTTTCAGACCGGGAACAAAGCTTCATCTGTTGCTGGGTCTTACGGCTGTTTCTTCCAGCCCTTGTTGGTGCTCCATGCAGTTTGGTCTCTCGGGGAGACACACAACTTCCTCTCAGCCCGGAGACACTGGCCTGGTCCGGCTGTTTCTCTCTGCCGCTGTTGTTGGCGACTCCATGGCCTGCCCAATGCTCTTGCAATGCAGTTAAATTTAGCGTGCTTCACAATGGGGGAGAGAGATCAGGTCGTGCGTCCAGCACCAACAAAGGCTGAAGAAGTGCCTGTGAAATCCAGAGAACGCCAGAGAATCAGAATGAGAGAGAAAGAAAAATGAAACAGACAGACAGACGGGGGGGCGGGGATGGAGAGAGATGAGACAGAGAGATGTGAGAAAGACAAAGAGAGAGGGGGGAGAGAAAGAGGGGGAGAGAGATGAGAAAGAGAAAGAGAGAGGGGGAGAGAGGGCAGAGGGGGGAGAGAGGTGGGAGATGAGAGAGAGGAGAGGGGGGAGAGAAGGAGAGAGGGCGAGAGAGATGAGAGTGAAAGGGGAGAGAGAGAAAGAGAGAGGCGAGAGAGATGGGAGAGGAAGAGAAAGAGGAGGGGGAGAGAAAGGGGGAGAGGGATGAGAGAGAGAAGGGGAGGGAGATGAGAGAGAAAGAAAGAGGGTGAGAGAGGGGTGAGAGAGATGAGAGACAGAAAGGGAGAGAGAGATGAGAGAGAGAAAGAGATAGGGAAAGAGAGAGAAAGAGAGGGGGGGAGAGAGAGATAGGGAAGAGAGAGAGGGGGGGTGAGAGAGAAAGATAGGAGAGGGGGGAGAGAGAGAGAAAGGGGGGGAGAGTGCCTGAAGGACCCCATCCTGTCACTGGGAGTCCAAGCGCTTCAGCAAGCGGCGTGCTGGGTTCATATTAGTGGTCCGCAGGATTTAAAATTATGAATTTAGTGGTCCCTGACGTCTGTAAGGAATATAAATCTTTCCAAATCCTGCCAGAGCTGAATAAGCTTCCATGATGAGAAGCTAAAAGTTTTCAAAGAAAAAACAAGGAAGTTCAGTTGCCTCTTGAAAAAGTACCTTTGGGTTGCCTTATTATACTGTGTATTTTATGCCAACACTTGCTATCAGCTATTAATCCCAACCTAAATTATGTATCATGGCCACTCTGATCAGTTCTATTAAAGTCACTCTTCAAATAATTCTAAGTATGGCCAAATTCTGTAATATGATCTGCAAGATGTGAAGCAGCCTGACAGAGCTGTTACATTAACTAATTGATCAATATTCATAAAATACCAGTGTTTTATGTGCTTGTCATTGACTGCAATAAATATTCTATTCTCTTAATTTAAAAGGCAACCCTAAGAACTTAAAAAGACTAATAATACAGATATTGGAACTTCCCAAGTAAAGCCCAGAAATACTTAGGATTTGGGAATGTCCATACTTACCTTGGCCAGAAAGGTATTTATTGTGAAATTGTCCTGTCATTTTACCGGTAGATCTCTTTCGGTATATCCTTAACAAACGACAGAATTCTTTGGAGAATTGGAGAATGCTCTTTTTGTACACATTGTTAACATGCTTCCCTTACCATCTCGAATCTTACAGCAATGTGTTTTAAATTTTTATTTTTAATTGGTTAGCACACTTCAACTAGATAGGCCCTGAAACTGGGCAAAAGCAACTCACAACGTTGCATGAAACTAAACAGAAGAGGCTCAAGGATAGAAATAATGACGCTCCTCCAATATATTTTGGAAGCAAACCGCCATAGAGAAAACGGCTTGAACTGCGGAGAAGGAGAAAAGCGCGAGAATATAAATCAAATGAAGCATCCCGCTAGACAACAGGAGAAAGCTTAATTCCCCAAGTGGGCACGAACCTCCCCTTGCCCTGCGGAGACAGGCGCGGACGCCGCTTAGATTGGACGCCCTTCCCGAATCCGTGCCGCCTCTTCCCTCGGAGCCTCCGCGTCGGACTTGCGCACTGCCTGCGGTGCCGAAGGGATGCTGACGGGGCTGGCGACACGGGAGCACGAGCTCTTTTAAGAACGACGACCTGGTCTCGACATCAGTGGGCGGCCTCTGCAGTCCTGTCCCCCCAGTAAGAAAAAGGGACCGGCCTTGGTTTTCCTCCGGCTTTCCTTGTCCCGTCCCCCCCCCCCACCCCCGTGTTGCTGCTGCAGCGCCCTCTCGTAGGACGCCGGGAAAGCGGGGAGGCTGACCGCCGCTGGACGAAGGCGGCTTCTCCAGGCTGGACATAACATCAGACGCGCTGTCCGGTCATCCGCAGTTGAGGAAATCGCCTGTTCTCCCTGGAGACGGGTTGAACCACTCTCCGGTAACCCAGATTTCACAGCAAAGAGGGCCACCGAGCAATTAGGGCGCATCTGTTGTCATTGCACAAATTCCTTAATTTCAGGACTCTGCGTGGGAATCTTCTCCCTATTGCATTGACTTCCCTTTCTCCCAAGCCACATTTAAACATTGCACCGGTTTAAAACAATGCGAAAAGAAAAACATGGTGGCATCTCCCAGTTATAGAAGTGGGTCTTAAAAATGTTTAAAATAAGTGAACAACATACCAAAATGATTCTAACTTGGACAAGTGTAATTAACACAGAGAAAATGAGACAAAGTTAAATTTAGATTTAATCATTAATTATGCCAGCTACTTTATACATTTTTTATTTCTTCCTCTAGTATATATTATTATTGCAGAAGTTTCATTATCCAAGTAATCCTAGCATTGTTGATGTTATTAATCAGGTAATAAAATGTCTGCAAAAACAACAACAAAGCAATGAAGTTCAGAGAGCACCAGCTCAACTGAGCTACAAATATTCTTTTCTATTGGCAATTCAAAATGCTGTTTTTTTACTTTTAAAAGCCCTAGATGGTTTGACCCTGGAGTAACTTCAGGAACAACTTTTCTAATCAGCTTTGGCTTCTTGATTAAACTTGTACACTGGCCATCACACCAGAGATGACTTTTGAGTTATAAAATACTGCCACATCTATTTACTGATTGTTACTTTGTAGTAATTATTGGGGATGGTGTTATTATAATCTATTTTATTATATTTTATTGCGAAGCAAGTGACCGAAGAGGTGATCGCGCGCGAAGCGCGTGCACAAAGAGAACTGATAGTAAAGCTGGTTAGAACCCACCACTGGCCCTATCCCACTGCAAAAATATGAAATGTACTTCGATTACTAACAAATTGAGAAATTCTTTAGCTGAGGTACATATATTAAACATAGAACCGATGCTCAAAAATGTTATTTTTTTTAAAGTTGATGTGTGATAATCAAGAGTGCAGTCCTAGTTTAATGTCAGTCTTTGTTTATTAATAATTCTATTAATAAACTGAAGCCAAAATTATATAAAAAGAGTTTTTCTTATACTAATAAGGACTATAAAGAATGTCATTGAATAAACATTAAAAGGACAGTAATATGAACAAATATTGTTTATTCACAATTACTTAGTGCTATTTTCCCAAACTATAATAATCACAGTCATGTTTAAAAGTATGAATAACTGGTATGAGTATACAGAGATATATTTAAGATTAAGAGGAACTTGAAATGCGAGGTGAGAAAAACATGAATTTCAGAGTACATTTCAGTATAGTTAGAATGGAGTAAAGCCTGCTGGTTTAAACAGAAAACTAATCATGTTTAAATAACATAACCTTTATTGTCATTTTTTCTGTGGACACTCTGGTACACATTAAAAATGAAATTCTATTGCCTGCTCTCAAAAGTGTACACATATATAACACAGGGAATATTTCCAGGTTAATTATTTCATCCAAAATTGAGTATAATATTTAAAAGACCACTGCATATCATAATGGGGTAGTAATTATCTGATGACAATTTCAGTCCAAAACTACTTAATATTAAGATCTCTGGTGTATATATTTATATATGTATTTATATGTTGGTAAAAGGAGAGGCCCATTCTATGATTGGGGGCTTGATGAGGCGAAGGGGCTTCTGCAGGTACATGAAACTGTGGGCTATGTTGTCAGACATGTATATGTCCAGAAGGGTCACCCAAGCAAACAGGCCATGATGGATACCCCAGACTAACACCAATCACATCTGCCAACCTGTAGATGTGATCGGTGGCAGGCCATCATGGCAGATTATAGTCTATTCCTTCAGCATGTCAATACAACCTCAAAAACGGCCCTCATTCCCTGGAGGCCCTAGGGCAACTACCTATGGCAGCAGAAAGACCTGCCTAAAGGCAGAGGGTGCTAAGAATCTCTGGCTAAATCAGGCTGCCTTTGGACTTTGAATATAGGAACGCTCAACATCTAAACAATGAGAATGGATGCTCGACTAGAAGAACTGCTGATTGAACTCAACAGTGTTCATTGGGATATCATTGGATTATGTGAAACACGTCAAAAAATTGAAAATTTAGCCGAACTTGATAGGACTGGGCATCTACTCTACACTAGCCGTACTGAGGATAGACAGTGTGGTGGGGTTGGTTTTCTCATCCACCAAAAGCTGAAAGACTCTAATAAAATATGAAAGTATATTAGACAGTGTTACCCAATGTATCATTCAATCGAACAAACAATACATGCTTCAAATCATCCAAGTTTATGTGCCAATATAATCTGTAGTGATGATGAGATTGAAGAGTTTTACGATAATGTGGCCCATCTTCAAGACAAAGAAAAATGGCAATAGAAGCAACAGACTAGTATATTTTGTCGAAAGACAGGAACTTTTATATCATGAACTCATTTTACAAGCAAAAGACTAGCAGAAAATGGACATGGAAGAGTCCATCTGGGTACACAAGCGAAATTGACTACATCATGTCAAGTGATAAAACCATATTTTGCAATTAAACTGTCATCAATGGCTTTAATGTTGGAAGTGACCGTAGAATGGTACAAGCTAAAGTGAAGATAGACTGTCAAAAAGAGCATATGAAAATGATAAAAATGTCACAAAAAAATGAAAATAAAGAGTGATAAGCTGCTAAAGAAGAAACATGTCCATTTAACATGAAGCTTGTGAAAAAAGCAATTGAAGAAAACAAAGGAATTAATCAAGCAATACAAGAAATACATATAAGAAAAAAGGTTTTTGCATTAAGATATGAAGATGACTCTAGGTATAGAACAAGACAGGAAATGTTGGAAATAATTGGAAAATTCTATTGAGAACTATACAAAGATCAAGATCACTCAACAGTAACAACACCCATGAAAGAGGAAATGTCAGGCATCCTAGTAGAGGAAGTGTCAAGTGCCATAAAATCAGGGGTGAAATGCTCCTGGTTTGGACCGGATCGCCTGATCCGGTAGCGATGGAGGTGGGTGATTCGGAGAACCGGTAGCAAACATCCCTGTGCGCCCCCCCCATGCCCAGCTGAGCCACGAGATCATCAGAGGCTGTTTTATTTACTTTTAAAAGCATTTTTTCTACAACCTTGTTGGCCAAAAAAATGCTTTTAAAAGTAAAAAAAACCCTCTGATGATCGTGTG